ATCTCATGATTCTAATTTATGAACAAAACGTCGAGTCTTACTTAGAAACGTGAGTAGTGCACGTTTCTAACTTAAAGAAGAAATGCAAATTTGATAAGAAACTTGTGGATTTAAATTTGCATGGACAGATGGCTAATTAAGGTTTAGGTAGAGACCAAAGAAAAGAGTTGAATTTGACCAGGAAATGATAAAGTGGGCCACCCCAGCCCCCTTCGAAACTTTTCAATCCCATCTGGATAGATTAAAGCCTCCACGTCACCCCACAATGTAAATTAATTACAAATATTTCTTTCAACTTAGCCCTTGGCATGGCAATTGGCGACCGAGTCAAATTGTCCAAAGAGGCAGGCAATGTCAAAGACTTCTCAAAACATTATCTTCCACGAAACACCCTTCTCCAAACACATATTCTCCTCTATGTGTGTGTATATATATACACACACACACACAATTAGAATCACATCTTCATTTGAACACTCATATCTCATCCAAGTCCTAAAAACTTCTTCCTCAATCCACACTTTACCAAAGAAACAAAGAACTCCATATCTTCTTCAAGTTTTCTTTCACGTATATATGATCATGGAAGCAATCATCAACAACATATTTTCAGGCCAAGATCTGTTGATCAAGGTTGGGATGTTCTTTTTGGTTCAAGCTTTGGTGTACCTCATCCTTTCCAAATCATCAAGCATCTTCTCTAATAATGATCTCAAGAGGTCTCACACCTTCCGGCCGGCTCGGTCCCTCAGCATCCGCCGCTTCAGGGCGGCTCTCGCCGACTTGCCTGCCGAGCTCTCTCCTTCGGATCAACGAGGCCCATCTACGCCGACACCACCGGCGGCGACGCCTAAATCTGCGGCCACCACTCGCCGTCAGTATCATGCATCTAATTAGGTTAATTCCCTGAGTTTGTTAGATAGAATATTGGTCATACATTTGCTTTTGTTTTTGGAGATTTAGTACTTTTGCAATTTGATTATTTGTTTGGGAGTGTGAGAGAATATTCTTTTATTCTTTTGTATATTATACGGTTGTGTATATAAATCAGATGGTTATTGCAGTCTATGTGAAATCATTTCACTAGATTGGATGTCATGTAATTTTTCT